TTTTTTTTTTCTAATCCCACAGAAAATTTTCAATGAAAATAAAAAAAATCCCTCTGTAAGAAATGGAATTAAAGAAGGTTTGAAGATTTTAATTTGAACCTTTTCTGAGTTTTGAAATAAATTTAGAACAACAATCAGCAGGGCTGTGGTCAGGGTGCTTAACACCCTATAGTGTAAGGTTGATATATTTTTCAGATTTCAAGATTTTTGCAACGGCAGATTTGCAAGCAGTCTTTTGCGCAAGACAAACCAAGAACAACTGATGATATAATACAGAGTCTATTGGGTATTTAAACACATTTCATTCTGCAATTTTTGTCCCTGAATAGAATTATACTTTTAGAAGGATTTCCCCAAGAATTTGGAATCCCTTGGGAACTTGAGGATGAGCTTGGTCCCACCAGATCCCAGACTGCTCTGAAGTTCTACCATTTTAGAGGTGCCAGTCTAATCCCATTCTATGTTGTTCTTATTTCAATTTCCAACACCCTCACTGGGTGGCATTTTTTGCATTCCTGACATAGGATTTGCATGGGAAAATCTTGAAAACAAAAAAAAATTTACCTCCTGGATTTTTCCAAACTTAGGCCTCATTGACCTGGGCCCATTTCAGTAAACTTTGGGTCAAACTCAAATGCACCACCCCCCAGAAAAATCCCAAATCTCTGCCACACTGAGGAAAGAACCCTCTGCTGTCCAAGGGTTAAATATCCTGTTGCCATTGCAGATGACTCAAGAAACACAGACTTGAGAATAAAGGTATCAAAATTTCTGCAGGGTCGGCCATTTCCTGATACAGGTTCTATATATTTTTTTCCTGGAACAATAGATTGCCTGATACTGTGTTCTGACAAATGAATGAATGAACAGAAAGCTTTATTTTCCACTTTTTAGCATTCACAAAGTCCATTCAACAACATTCCCACATCCAAACCTCATCCTCACCCAGCCCAAATCCATTCAAATGCATTCAATCCCTTCAGAATGGGAAACACATTTTTCACCAAATAAAATTAGAAATACAGTACCAAAATAAAAGAGAATACATTGCGTTCTGAATTTTAGTAAGAAAATACTGAATAATTGTCAATGAATGAATGAACAGAAAACTTTATTTGCCGCTTTTCAGCGTTCACAAGGCACAACCAAGACTCCCACATCCAAAAGTGATACAATTCAAAGCCAATCTTCAGTAACTCTGGAAATGTTTTCTAATATTTTGGTCTGACATGAAGTTTTTATCAAGCGTTGTCAAATACAAGCTTATTTCTTGAAAAAAAAACAGCCAGTATATAATCTAGATGTGGGACACCGTTCATTTCCAATATATTTCCTGGAATTGGATTATTATCATTACTGCATGCCAATGCCACTTCGCATTTTTGTTGTAGGCTGATAATCGCATTTAAGGTCATCCACTGAATAAATTTGTCTGTGCTGTATTCAATTGTGTCCATGAGGCATAATTTTATAGACGAAAAGACGTTCGGCAGTTTGTCAGAATCATCAAGAGCTCTGCACTGTATCATTAAGTCATCCCACTGCACAATCATTTCTAGAAGTGATTTAGTTCGAGGCTATTTAGGCGGATTTATTTTTCACACTGCTTGATGGCCTGAAGGAATGTGGAATTATGTATGACATAAATAATGGATTTTGAATTATGCATTTGGGTGCTCATGGCCAAAAAACTATAGGACCCCATTTTACAAACGCTTGCTGTATACGCATTCACGGCGGAAAAGATTGACATGTATGTTCATAGAATAAAATAATTTGTCTGATATTTGGAAGTGAATGGAACCTGCTGAATAAATTAACAGAACCTATGGCAATGGGGACTTTTTTGCAAGGGGGAGTACTTCCGTTTCTCAAAAGTATTGGAAGCCGCTGAAATCTCCGTAAATGTCCAACAAATTAAAATACTCTGAGAATATGGAGTTTGGTCTGGGCCAGTGCTCCCCAACCTTTTTGTACCCACCCACGGACCAGCAAATTTGCAATAAAATTTTCTGCTGACCGACGACATTCCATAAATTTTATTCTGATCGACAGAATTTTTTTCAAATTCCTTCCATAAAATTTGCCAAACAAAACTTTCATTTCAAAAATTAAGTTAAAAACCATGTGGAGCACCTATTGTCCAATATCTTTATAAAATTAGAAAAGCTGGGCTTTAAAAAATGGTTTCCAAGGAGGAAAACTGGAAATAATTTATTTCAGCAGATGAAAATCATTCTTGAGTCTTCGTTAAGGGAAAGCCAACTTTTATTTTACTCAGAAAATTTCTACTGCTTTTTTCTTTCCAAATCATTAGATAACAATAACAGACTTCATTACAACTTCTGATGCACTTCCTGTACTGTATTATGTGCTGAAAATTTTCTGCGGACCGGCAAACAACTTCTACAGGTTGGGGAACAGAGGTCTAAACTATGAAACAATGAATAAAAGACGTTTTGTTTTCAAATATCCAGACCAAAGTTCGTGTTGTAAAATTTATAGCAGAATCAGCTGGAATCCGGCAGCAGAAGTTGAAAAGTAATTGAATAAAGAATGATTCCAACAAATTGTATGCAAAAGAAGAGGCACGAACACGGGTCGTTCAAATAGCACGACCGACCATGAACTATGCAAAGTTCTGAGCACAGGTTAACAAATAGCATTTAACCCCTACACCCAATCAGTATTCAGGCACGACATGTGCGTATACCACAATTACACGAATACC